TGAGGTGGCCAAAGTATTGGAGCCTCAGCTTCAGGATCTGTCCTTCCAGTGAGCACTCAGGGCTGATTTCCTTCGGAATGGATAGGTTTGATCTTCTTGCAGTCCATGGGACTCTCAAGAGTCTCCTCCAGCACCATAATTCAAAAGCATCAATTCTTCGGCGATCAGCCTTCTTGATGGTCCAGCTCTCACTTCCATACATCACTACTGGGAAAACTATAGCTTTTACTATACGGACATTTGTTGGCAAGGTGATGTCTCTACTTTTTAGGATGCTGTCTAGGTTTGTCATTGCTTTTCTCCCAAGAAGCAGGCGTCTTTTAATTTCGTGGCTACTGTCACCATCTGCAGTGATCATGGAGCCCAAGAAAGTAAAGTCTCTCACTGCCTCCATTTCTTCCCCTTCTATTTGCCAGGAGGTGAGGGGACCAGTGGCCATGATCTTGGTTTTTTTGATGTTGAGCTTCAGACCATATTTTGCGCTCTCCTCTTTCACCCTCATTAAAAGCTCCTAGCGAGGTATTTAAAGAGAGATCCAGCCTTCCTGGCCCTCTTAGACCTGCTGTCAGTGATAATACTGATAGCTGACATGTCCAATATAAGGATTTATTCTCAGTTTACACAAAGGTCTCCAAGGACCATAAGAGGTAGTGCCCTTCCTTTTTAAACGAAATTTCCATTTTAACTCCATTGGGTCAGTGGGTGAGGGTTGCATCCTGCCGCTTTGCCTCTCTGAAGGTGGCTTTTCTTGACAATTCGTAGGAATGTAGGCTTCTCCATATGCTAGCCTGAGGTTCCAGGCAGTTCCTGAAAGGGCAGAACGACGCTATGAAAGAGAATATTGTTTCTGGATGTCACTGCATGCTGTGAGGGAAATTTGAATGAATACAATTTGCATACTCTCTCTGCCCCCGCCCCCCTCTTTGTGTAATTTATTCCACACACAGTGTTTTTCCTTATGGAAATTGGGTTGTTTCATATGCAGTAAACCATACTAGGGACAGTGAAGAATATTTGAGCAGAGGTAAGACTGGGGATACGGGACACGGGTGGCGCTGTGGGTTAAACCACAGAGCCTAGGACTTGCCGATCAGAAGGTCAGCGGTTCGAATCCCCGCGACAGAGTGAGCTCCCGTTGCTCAGTCCCTGCTCCTGCCAACCTAGCAGTTCAAAAGCACGTCAAAGTGCAAGTAGATAAATAGGTACCGCTCTGGCGGGAAGGTAAACGGTGTTTCCGTGCGCTGCTCTGGTTCGCCAGAAGCGGCTTAGTCATGCTGGCCACATGACCCGTAAGCTGTACGCCGGCTCCCTCGGCCAATAAGCGAAATGAGTGCCACAACCCCAGAGTCGGCCACGACTGGACCTAATGGTCAGGGGTCCCTTTACCTTTCAACCATACTAGGGACAGTGAAGAATATTTGAGCAGCAGTGTGCTGGTCCCGGGGGTAAGGTACCTTGGGTGTAGCAGAGTCCACACGAAGAGGGGCAAGGTCCGAGGCAGAGAGCCGGGCGGGGAACAGGAGTGCTGGAACAGGAGGCTGTGCAGGGAACAGGAACACCGGATGGTCGGGAACAGGAGGCCGAGCAGGGAACAGGAGTACCGGATAGTCAGGAACAGGAAGCCGAGCAGGGATCAGGAACACAGGAAGGTCCGAGCCAACAACGACGTTGCTCCCGCAACCTGGGGCCGGGCTGACTGGGCTTTTATCCTCTTCTAAGGACCTGGGCGGTCCCGGTCCCCAGGAGCCCCGCCTCCTCTGGCCTTAAGGCGAGCACTCCTCCTGGGGGCAACCAGTTCCCTTCGCCTCTCTGCCCTAAGCCTCTGCAGATCAGGAGAGGCCGAAGGGTTACTGGGCCCCGGAGGAGGCTCACCTGTGGCCACTGAGTCATCAAGCCCCTCTGGGGCCCGAAGGGCTTCACCTGGGGCCAGCTCCTGATGCACTGCCACAGGTGCAGGCTCTTCAGCATCAAGGCCTTGCCCCAGTTCAGCCGGCCCTGGAGGCGGGGACTCCTGTGCAGGCCGGGATTCCTCTGTTTCATCCTCCGAATCGGAATCCCAGGCCATCACAAGCAGTAAGACTGGGGATACTTAGTGAATGGGGCCGTTTCTAAGACCAGCAGGGGTCTGCTGGAATCCCAAGAATCTCAGCTTCTTGGTTTTTAAAACAGTAGCTTTCTAGAGTTTGTGGTTATAGAAACACCATCTGAAAAGATACAGTGGTAGTTTGGTTCTCAAAGGCCGAAAACCCGGAAGTAAGTGTTCCAGTTTTTGAACATTTTTTGGAAGCCAAACGTCTGATACGGCTGTCGGCTATTGTTTCCGGGGCTCCTGCACCAATCAGAAGCTGTGCCTTAGTTTTCAAACATTTCGGAAGTCAAACAGACTTCTGGAACGGATTAAGTTTGGCGCTTTTGTCTTTGCTATTTATATTGCATTTTTGTTTTTGAGGCTTTCTCGGTTAATTTGTTTTTGTGACTGTGTGGAACCCAGTTCAGCTACTGACTCATTGATTGTGTGACTGCGGAAATGGATAAAAGCCCTCCATCCAAACAACGACTATCATCAGTGCAGGGAAGAAAAAAAATCAAATTTTCATTTTTATCATCTACAATACAGTCTTATTTATTTTATAAATACAGTACATTGATTATTGCTTTCATTTTATGGATCAATGGTCCATAAAAATCATGTTAAATTGCTGTTTTAGGGGTTGTTTTTAATAGTCTGGAATTAATCAATTTCTTTTGCATTACTTTCTATGAGAAATCACGCCTTGGTTTTGGAACACTTTGGTTTTGGAATGGACTTCCGGAACAGATTAAGTTTGAAAACCAAGGTACCACTGTACTGGCAAAGAAGTGGAACGATTTACTATGAAGTGGCTAGTAAGATGTCACCCAAATTCACTATGGTCTCCAGCCTTTGTGCGTGCTTGTTGTTGTTGTTTAGAAAAAAATCATAAACCGCTTGCTCAAAAGAAAATCTCCCATGTGTTGTTCCCGTCCAATCATATATAAAACATGATTAGAATCCACAAACCAGTCAAGCACAAATGTAAATAAAACCAATCAAACTTTAAAAAGCAACTTATAACGAAATCATGTGCCTGGAAAGACTTGCTGAACTAGTTTTCAGCAGACGTCTAAAAAAAAGTTTGCCTAATATCAATAGGCAGGGAGTTCCAGAGGTGCCACACGAAAAGAACGACTCCTCGCAAATTTGGAACTTGACATTATGGGGCACTTGTAAAAGCGCAAGTTCTGAAGACTGAAGGAGAACACAGAGGTGTGATTTTGACATGCAACGAATAACTACAGGTTATTTTTTTAAAAAAAAAATCTTGTTTTTAATGTGGGGGGGTGGAAGAGAGCGAGCGAGATGTTTTCAGTGTTTGCCTTTTATTAAGGAATATTTTAGACTTTCTGTTGCATACCACTTAGAGATCTTCTGTTCTGGCAAGCGCCATATAGATTTTGTTAAATAAAATAAATTAATAGAAATCATGAGTAGACACAGGACTGAGGAGGGAATGATCTGCTACAGTTCAGCACCTAAAGTTCCTTTTTACGGGAGACCTCAGTGGGAGCAAATGTTTATTTATTTATTATATTTATTGAATAGAATTTACATACCACTTTCCCATCAAAAACAAAAAAGCTGTTTACATCAGATATATATGTAGCACAAGATGCTTAATCTCAGGGTTGTTATGTACTGAAGTTCTCACCCTGGGCCAGCAGGGGGATACTGTAGATAGTTTTCACTCAGGTCCACATATGCAAATACGGGATTGAAAGTGACGTTCAGTGATTGGATAGTTACAGAAAGTGGTTACAGTTACGTTGTACTGGAGCTCTATATAAGCAGGCTGGCTGAACCCTTCAGTTCAGTTCAGATCTGTTCTGGCCTGTGAATAAACAAGAGCTGTTTGAAGAATCGCTGTGTCGTCTGATATGTTCACCCACAACTTAACAAGGGTTGTGGGTTTGAGCTCTGTGTTGGGCAAAAGATTTCCTGCATTGCAGGGGGTTGGACTAGATGACCCTTCCAACTCCCTTCCAACGCTACAATTCTAGGAGTCTAGGCTAGATATGCCATTGGCCTGACTCAGACCATGAGTCCATCTAACTCCATACTGTCAACACTGACAGACAGCAGCTTTCCCAAGTATTCAGACAGAGGTCTGTCCATTTTTCCACCTTCGCCGCATCACGCAGTTGGTCCCTTACCTTTCCCGCCCCAACCTGGCCACAGTGATCCATGCGACGGTCACCTCCAGGCTTGACTACTGTAATTCACTCTACGCCGGGCTGCCCTTGAAGCTGACCCAGAAACTCCAGCTGGTGCAGAATGCTGCAGCGAGGCTCCTCACAGGGTCTCTGCCATGGGAGCATATTCACCCAGTGCTTTTCCAGCTGCACTGGCTCCCGGTGGAGTACAGGGTCAGGTTCAAGGTGCTGCTTTTGACCTTTAAAGCCCTTCACGGCCTAGGACCCTCGTACCTATGGGACCGCCTCTCCTGGTATGCCCCACGGAGAGCCTCGAGGTCCAAAAATAGCAACACTCTAGAGGTCTCGGGCCCTAAGGAAGTTAGATTGGCTTCAACCAGAAGTTAGATTGGCTTCAACCAGAGCCAGGGCCTTTTCAACACTGGCTCCAGCCTGGTGGAACGCTCTGCCTCATGAGACCAGGGCCCTGCGGGATCTGATTTCTTTCCGCAGGGCCTGTAAGACAGAGTTGTTCCGCCTGGCCTTTGGCTTGGAGCCAATTTGATTCCCTCCCCCCCTTTCTTTCTTTTTTCTTTCTTCTCCTGTGATGAGGCTGCATTTTAATATTTTTATGTTTCAATATTTTAATTTGCATTTTCATCTTGTTTTTAAGTTGCACTCATTCAACTTGTTTTTATTATTGCTTGTTAGCCACCCTGAGCCTGGCCTTGGCTGGGGAGGGCGGGGTATAAATTATTATTATTATTATTATTATTATTATTATTATTACCTGGAGATGCCAGGAATTGAACCTGGAACCTTCTGCTTGCAGGACAGATGCTGTACAACTGAGCTGAGGCCGTTCCCCCTTCTTTTTTTGCAAGCTGTGCTATCAGAACATTGACCTGAGCAGCTATAGGAGGAAATGGCGGTGGTGGACGATCTGAAGAAGGACCCGTCTATCCGTCCATCCATCATTAGGAGTAATTTAATACTTAATGACGTTTGTGATCGTCGTGCCGTGCTTATAATTGAAAATGAATAATTGAAATTCCAATTACTATAGGGGTCAGCCTAAGGGGAAACCATAGAACAACTTGCCAAGGAACAGTCAGAAAGTCCTGGGACGGCAAATAACATGACAAGCAGCTTAATCATGTATTGAAAACAGAGTCTTTTAATGTTGTGTCGTCCTTCGTGTTTTTTCGGCAAGCGTTTTCGGGAGGTCAGTAATATGAACTCCCCAGAGGGAGAGGTCTCCACTCGTTTTCCTAATTCCTATCTTTCTCTAATATGTAAAAGCAGCATCAAACTTTTTAATGATGGTTTTGCGGGGGTGATAGCAGGAAAAAACAATCCATTCTGAGAAAGCTAAGCAGTGCTGTCTCCAACGTCTCTCTGATGAAAATAGGAATGACCTATTCCATTATTTTATTGTTGTTGATGATGATGATTTTGCTGTTATTATTATTATTTTACTATTTATACCCTACCCATCTGACTGAGTTGCCCCAGCCGCTCTGGCAGCTTCCAACATATACAAAAACATACTAAAACATGAAACATTACAAAAACTTCCCTATATCATGCTGCCTTCAGATGTCTTCTAAAGGCTGTATACAGTCGTACCTTGGTTTTTGAACGTCTTGTGACATTTTGGCTCCCAATACGCAAACCTGGAAATGAGTGTTCCAGTTTTCAAACTTTTTTGGGAAGCCAAACATCCGGCACAGCTTCCGCTTGAGTGCAAGAAGCTCCTGCAGCTAATCAGAAACTGCACCTTGGTTTTCAAATGTTTTTGGAAGTTGAACGGACTTCTGGAACAGATTCCATTCGAAAACCAAGGTACGACTATAGTTACTTATCCCCTTGACTCGGGGGTTGCATAACTCCATAGCCTCCAACATTTCTCCAATGAAAATAGGGACATCTTAAGGAAAAGCAGGGCATTTCAGGGTCAAATCAGAAACCGGGACAGCTTCTGTAAATCTAGGACTGTCCCTGTAAAACAGGGACACTTGAGAGTCTGAAGTTTTGGCAGGGATTTTACATCAGTTGGGACCTTGGACCATAATAACTGTAGAGCAGCCCTATGGATAGGACTACAACATCCATGTATTTCAGGATGGGGAAAGTCAAGTCATGGGGAATGACTGTGGCCCTCCAGTTCTCTCTTTCTGGCTCTCAGAACCCTCCTGAAGCCATGTCCTTCACTGGCTTTGCCCCATGATGTCCTCCTCAAGCATGTCTGTCTAGCCGAGCAACCAAAATGATCAAAGGGATGAGGTGACTCCCCGATGATGGAAGTTCGCTGCATTTTGGACCTTTTAGAGTAAATGTGAGTAAGAGGCAACATGATATAAAATTATGCCTGGCATGGAGAAGTTTTTCTCCTTCTCTTGCAACACTCGAATGCATGGGCATCAAATGAAGCTGAATCTTAGAAGATTCGGGGCAGATAAAAGAAAGGACTTCTTGTATCTTGTTTCTCCTGCTCCGGAGGGTAGGACTTGAACCCGGTGCTTCAAGTTACAAGAAAGGAGATTCCGACTAAACATCAGGAAGAACTTTCTGCAAGTAAGAGCTGTCCGACGGTGGAATGGTCTCCTTCAGGAAGTTGTGGACTCTCCTTCCTTGGAGCTTTTAAAGTAGAGTTTGGCTGGCCATCCATCCTGGATTCTTTAGTTTAGATTCCTGCATTGCAGGGGGTTGGACTAGATGACCCTCAGAACCCCTTCCAAGTCGACAATGTTATGATTTTTTGATTCACACAGCACCTGGTCAAACTATGCAGCTCTCTCCCACAGGGGGCAATGGTGTCCACCAATTTGGGTGGCTTTAAAAGAGGACTGGAGAAATTCATGGAGGAGAGGGCTACTGATGGCTGTTAGCCCTGATGGATGTGCTCTGCATCCACCATTGAAGGCAGTAATCCTTCTGAAAACCACAAGAGGGGCAGAGTGCTCTTGTGTTCTTGCTTGCGGGTGTCACAGTCCGGTCTACGGGCGATCGAAGTCCCGGCTGAGGACGTCGGGACCAGGGGCAAGATGGCAGGGTGGGAGCAGGAACGAGAGTCGAGAAGCAAGGAGTCGCGAAGTCAAGGGCCCAAGGGTCAAGAAGCAAGGAGTCACAAAGTTAAGGGTCCAAGGGTCAAGAAGCAAGGAGTTGCGAAGTCAGGGGTCCAAGGATCAAGAAGCAAGGAGTTACAAAGTCAGGGGTCCGAGGGTCGAGGAGCAAGGAGTCATGAAGTCAAGGGTCCGAGGGTCGAGGAGCAAGGAGTCAAGGAGCCGAGGTCCGAGGATCAGGAAGCAAGAAGCCAAACACAGCAAGGCAGGAAACATGTTGCTGTGGCAAAGAGCCGAAGGGAAATGCTGACCATATATCCCTTCCCGGCTCTTGCCACCAGGTGCAGTGAGTTACCAAGCGGCCTCACCTGTGTGGCCACGCCTTGCCTCTCCAGAACAAACCTAGGAAGGCCCCAGTCCGGCGAAGCCCTACTGGTCACAGGTCCTGGCATGCACTCCTGACTGTGGGTTTGCCATAGACATCTGTTTGGCCGGTGGAGATGCTGGACTACACAGGCCTTTGACTTGATTCAACAGGTCTCTTCTGATGTTGTTTGGGCCCATAGCTCAGTTGGAGAAGGTTGCTAGTTCAAAGTTTGCCATAGCGTCCATTCTAATACAGAACTGGAGTTCTTGATGTTAAGCAAATTTAAGCTCTGATTATTTTCCCCTCTCCTGCCTATTTTTTTTAAAAAAAGGACTATTGATTGCAAAACACTTGGCACATTAAATATGCTCTTAGAATCATGAAAATCTCCAGTGCTGATAACTAGCAATAAAGTCCCAGACTACTTCAAGTGACCAGGTAATCAAGAAAACGAGGAACCAAGCACATTTTTCAACCTCTTAGCTGATGGCAAAGTTTCCAGACTTGCCCTGAAATCCGATTCCCTACTGAGAGCGCATAAAAGGGCACCAGAACAGAAAATAATTGCCGTCTGTCTGACAGTTTGGTGTTCAGCTCTCTACATGGTCCAGCAGATGGTGTCAAGGATTCGACCCCCGGGGGTTTTAAGAGGTGCGTAACGCGGCCTGTAAGAATCCTCTTCTGAACTGTCTGCAGAGCATCTTTCAGCTGATCAATGTCTTCATGTGAGTGATACTTAGCAGCTGAAACGTGTTTGATTAGTACATCTAATCCCTGATTGATTAGTTGTTCTAAATAATTAATTGCCATGTTCACAGCATGGCAGGGAGAGCATGGAGGGCGGGGGCGGGGGAGCCAGATGAAACTTAAATAAGCAACAAGGATCTTGGTGTCTCTGTAGCGCAACTGCTTGCGTTCCCTTCTTTAGCATTAGCAGATCACAGCTATCCTTTGAACCACACACGGCCACATTTCACCAGGGATAGACAACGTGGCTTCTTCTTTGGCAATGCCTCGTAGCCAAGTAAAATTGTCTTCCATAAACATGATTTTAACAATGAGTACATAAGTGACTGTGGAGGCCAATTCTGGATCCACACGTCCTTCCACAGTGGGGACATTGGTTTCCAGGCAGGAGTTGATCACAGTGTGGATTTGCCAAGCGTGCCTTCCTCTTAGCTCGTTTCTCCCTTGCGTCCTGAATTTGAGCGACTTCAAAGCCCATGACACCTTTGGTAAAGACTGTTCTCCAGTTGGAGCCCTCGCAGGCAAGTGTTTTCCAGTTGTTGGTGTTTATACTACATTTTTTAAAGATTTGCCTTGAGACAGTCTTGAAACCTCTTTTGTTGACCACCAGCATTATGCTTTCCATTTTTAAGTTCGGAATAGAGTAGTTGCTTTGGAAGATGATCATCAGACATCCACACAACATGACCAATCTAACGAAGTTGATGTTGAAGAATTATTGCTTCGACACTGGTGATCCTTGCTTCTTCCAGTACACTGATATTAGTTCACCTGACTTCCCAAGTGATGTGTAAAATTTTTCGGAGACACCTTGATGGAATCTTTCGAGGAGTTAGAGATGGAGTTTATGAGTGGTCCATGTTTCAGAAGCATACAGTAAACCTTCCCATCAGCTCCAGTCAACATGGCCACTGTTCAGGGGTGGGGAGCAGCTGTATTCAAGCAACGTCTGAAGGGCACAGCATCAACTGCCCCCGTATTAAACTATATTTAAAATAAACTGATGGTGTGTGTTGCAGAAATTGCAGGTGCTTCTGTCCTTTTCGTTCCCCAGTGGAAAAGCCATTGTGAGGACTCATCCTAGGTTCGTATTTTGGCTACATGTCAGCAAACCCATGACCCTGAGATTAAGTCTCATGCTCTACTGACCTAGGTATCTGCTAAAAACAGCCTGTTATGGATTTAAACCATGTTCCTAAATTCAAGACTATAGTATGTGTCCTCTAACACCGGGGGGGGTTGGCTTTTTCCTTGAATTTTTCACTTTAATTTAAAAAAAACAAAAACAAATGGGTAACACTGAAAACAGTTCATTTTTCTTGCTTATCTTAAGTCCTCCATCCTGGCTCAGCCAGCGAAAGTCCTGGAACAGGACTTCTCTCTGAAAGAGAGAAGGGGCAGGACAGAGCAGAAAGCAGTTATCCTTATTCCAAACTCCATTCGGCTAGGCTACATGACGTACCGATTTCACCAGAATTTACACCGGTCCAAAGTGTGATGTGCATCAATCTCTATTTGAATGGCTTCTTTCCCCTCTGTGATGCCTGGGCTGTCACAGCCAGCATTAGCCCTGCTCCTGAACAGAGTTTGGAACCAGGGTAAGTTACACTGGCACAGTTTAAAAAGGTAAAGGGACCCCTGACCATTAGGTCCAGTCATGGCCGACTCTGGGGTTGTGGTGC